TTGTACAGTTTCACACAACATATGGAGGAGACAACTTAAAAATAACTTTTCATTCAGGATGCAACTTACTCACGAAGGGGTTTTTATCTTTGGGCTCTTAGAGCACTACAACTCATATCCACACAATGAGATATTTTAAACATGTATCACATGTTTATACAACTTATCATCAAGCAACTTACTTCATACAACTTCAACAGTAAACAACTTTCAACTTAAAATCAACATACAACCTTCAACTTAAACAACTTAAATCATCATACATTATCATATATCAATATATGTTAATTCAAAAGACGATCTTGGATCTCTCAAGTTTTAATGATAACAAACAAAAGATTTTCTTTTTAAGCAAAGTCAAGTATTTACAAAGATACTATATTAGACGAAATTTGAAAAATATATATCATCTATAAGATGAAGAAAATCATACGAAATATACAATATGTCTCTATGCATTTGACGCATATTTCCAAATGAGACTAACATTAAATTCCATTAAATGTGTTATTCCTTAACAAATTGAACAAGAAAGAAGCTTTAGAATTCTCAAAGTCTATTAAAGAAGGAAAAGACAAAATATCCATTAGAAAAAAAAAGTTAAATCCTGAATATCACAGAAAAGACTCTATAAAAGACTGCTCTGCGTTGACTTCAACTACTTTATGCTGACATAGCTTTTTCCATGCTCATTTTAGAAGGAAATGATGATAAGTAGTCTATTAGATTAGATAAAAGATACACATTTTGTTGAAAGACATTTAATGCGAGCATTAAATGCATCAACAGCAATCTCTAGGATCAACAAAGAAGACAGACGAAACAACTCTTGAAGCAAATTTTAAGTTCAACTCAAAGTTATCGTAACGATCATTTTCTTTAAAGTTACTATAAAAGGATCAAGCCTTCAAACAATAAGAAGAGTGTGAGACATATAGAATATAAGCGATAAAAGCAATTTACATCGACAAATTTGTATAAAGAAACATACAAAAACACATAAAACTGAAAAATTACATAGAAGCATTCTATTGTAAATCTTGCATATATTTCTTCATAGATTACTTGTGCTTTCATTGTTGATTACATCATGTCTAGAAGAGACAAAACAATTTTGTAATCATTCATTACCTTGTTATATGGGTTGGGCCTGGAGAGGGTTGGTTGAAAGAATACTTGTTGCTAAGCCTCGAGAGGCTTATGTGGAAGAATACTCAGTATTGAGCTTGAAAAGGCTTAGTTGAAAGAATACTTGGTGCTAAGCCTAAAGAGGCTTTTTTTCAAAGAATACTTAGGTAGTTGCTTGAATAGGCAAGTCAAAGACTATTTATGATTGAGCTAAAAGTGACTTGGTAAAAGAATACTTGTAACTTTGTGAAAGTTAGTGGAACTCAATTTGGTTGGATTGAGAAATGAACGTAGTCTCGGTAGTTAAGACAAACCAATATAAAAATCTCTGGTGCTTCATTCAACTCTTCTTCGATGCTTCGTCTGATAAGTCATTTTATTTTCACTGCACAAATGTGTGAGTTTTTTATACACACTATTCAACCCCCTTTCTAATATGTCTTTTCTCCACAATATATAATGAACTACATTCAACCTTCATCATATTTCATGTAAACAACCAACTCAATAAGATAAGTTGAAAAAATTATAAGTTCAAATGATAAATAAGTGCTTTAAGTGTGAGATCAAAATTTGCTTTAAGCGAGCCAGGTCAGAGAACACCTCAAAGATGGTCACATCAACTCATTCTGAACTACTGAAATTCGCTCTAAGCGTCCACACTAAGTGCTCTAAGCAAGTCAAGTAGAGACTACCCTTGAAATAGTCTCACTGACTCACTTAAGCAACCTCGTGGGTGTTTCAAGCAAGTGAGCCCAGAAAACAACATGCAAGGTCAAGAATAGCTCACCAACTTGAGAAAACACTCAATCAATTCAAAAGATCCATACTTCCAACATGCAACTCAAATTTCAACACTTATACAATATAAAACAACTAAAAATCATCATAAAGGAGAACATGCAATCACTCAAGGAAGTAAAATCATTATTTTCTTTCCATTTTATCAAAAACAACTAAAAAACCAAGAACTCCAATCCTCACTTCTTCAAAATTAAACCATCAAAGCCACTAATGGGCAAATTAATGAAAGGAATCAACACATGCAACAAAATAAAAGTAATCTACAAGCTTCATTTACCTCGTATCTCTTATAATCAAGGGAAAGGAAGAAGAATGATGAGAACGAGGTCCTTTGAGCTTCATTGTATAACACTACCAACACCATATTCTCAACACTCCAGGCCTTGAATCTCCACTCAACTCCTACAAATGAGCTTTAGAGAAGAATGAAAGCGATCATGTGACGTCCGAAGGGAAAACAATTTTCCTCTGACTCCATAGCCTGTCTCCCTAACTTCTCTTTAACTTTCTTAAGAAAATGAACTTATGAAGTTCAAGTCTTAAGAAAACCTTATGTACATTCTCCTAAACTTAGTCAACTTTAACTTCAATTCAAAACAACTCTTAAACAACTAAATTCATAAGAATTCCTTAATCCTTAGAATTCTACAACAATTAAACTACCAAACATACAATTATTTATTTAATAAAATTAAATAAACAATAATAAGATTCACAATATTACACTAAAATCATTGTTAGATTAAATATCGATTATTAAACTAAATAAATAGTAGATGAAACATATATGAAATATTAAATCATAGAATGTAAACAAAATCACAAACACAAAATTACTATATATATATATATATATATGTTGGTGATTTTGTTTACATTCTATGATTTAATATTATATATATATATATATATATATATATATATATATATTTTTTTTTTTTTGTGTGTGTGTTAGGATTTAAGATTTATATATATATTTATTTATTTATTTGAATTTAATTGATAATATAGATATTCAATTAATTTTTGTTGTAAGTAATTTCTTAATATAGTTTTATTATTAATTTTCATAAATTATTTTTATTTGAATTTTAAATCATGTAGTTATTAATATATTTTATTAATTTGTTTGTTTCATTTGCTAATACTTTATATTTTTAATATTTCTTTGGTTTTAATAATTTTTAGTATCAATTTATTTTATAATAACATTTATATATAAGAAAGTTTAGAAGAAAAAAATATCACAGAAGTTGTTCCCTTTATATTATTTTTTAAATATTTGTTTGGTTTTAATAATTTTTAGTATCAATTTAATTTTTAATAACATTTATATATAGAAAAGAATTTTGGAGGAAAGAATATCTCGTAAAAGCTGTTTCTTTTATATTATTTATAGATAGATTTCTCAAAATAAGTAAATCATGTCAGTAAAACAAGATTTTCATTTAGGTCATCTTTCACAAGTAAGACTTTAACTTATTTATATATTTTTAAGAAAAGACAGGATTTGAAATAAAAAATGGCAAGTGATGATCATTCGTGAAAATTTTTCCTTTATTTTTTATTTTTTATTTTTTATTTTTTTACGTTAAAATAATATTTTTACATTAAAATATTGTCTTCGTCTATGTATATAAGATTTCTTTTACTTTTTTCTTATCCTTTTACAAGTTATTTTTTAATTGTTATTTACATTAATTGCTACTTGCATATTATCTTCTTTTATAAGTCGTATTTCACATGTACACAACTTACCCATTTGGAGAATTTTTTTCAAAAAAATGGTCTATTTGGAGAATTTGAAGAAAAAAAATTACCCAGATACGTAAAGGGGCCTACACTCTCCTATAAAACATAAATACACGCTTAAGCAAGCAGTTAATGAAATTGGACAAACGTCACAAACCTATGACGATACCTTGGGAGATTTTTTTTTATAGCTTTGACTGCGACAGAAACTATTTTGGTCATTGGTAATAAGCGGTATAAAAAACTGATTCGACAACACAGCTTTGGATCATTGACCAAAATCTTATTGTTCAGCAACGTGTGGATCGACAAAGTCAGACTAAAACAAATATTCAGAATCAAGCACTTTAATGGCCAAAATTTATATTACGTGAGTAAAACCAAAGCCTCTACGAGCAACACGTACAAAGGCTAATCAATCATTCGTATGATCAAGTCCACTCAACAAACAGCTTTTTTTACTAGCTCAATTTTCAGAAAGGGAAACCCATGATGTAATCCCCAGCAATTTTACTAAAAAAGAAATTTGCCCAAGTGCATGAGACAGTGAATAAATATGCAAAATAGATTCTTAATGAACAAATCTGAATATTAGGTCTCCCACAAAATGCATAAAACAGAAATGTATATTGCAATGACACAAACTATTATATGTGCAATGCAAATAAAGATAGACTGCTTGCCCTTATACATTAAAATCTGAAATTCTATTGAGCAATATTCAGTGACAGACAAAAAGCTAAATAGCAGTCATGCCTATCGTTGCTATATAAATATAATAAAATGATAAATAATATATATATATATATATATAAAGTATAATAATATGGCATCAGTCATTACTCGTCATATCAATCAAGGAGTACATGAAACATGCAGTTTGACAAAAGATTTCAAGGAAATAAGACATTGAAATTCTTGTTGAGATATCTGAAGACACACACTATGTGGTGGTTTGAGAGTTGGAGAGACTTTTTCTCCCTTGGAAAACAAACAATGCATACAGAGCACATTGGAGAAAACAGCATTATCTTATATCCAACTCTGAATCCACGATGGTGTTGAATTTCAAGGAAGAAAGCACACCACACCTGTTGTCTTCCTCTTCCATAATCCACCGAGGGAGCAGAAGTTGGTTACAGTGTCCATTCAAACAAACAACCCAAAAGAAGACACAACTTAGTAAACAAACCAATGCACTAATGCTTGCTTATTCCCAACCCAACTAATGCTTAATTTTTTATAGACAAAAATCATTTGCCCGGGTATGTTATTATATTATAATATTATATATAATAAATATAACCAGAATAAACTAATTTTAAACTGCTTTTGAAGCTTCTTCTCATTAATATCTAAGATTTTGCGTGTCTTCAATGATGGTTACGATTAAGATGATCGATGCAAAATCCAAAAGGAGAAAGTGAATCAAATCAAATAAGTGAAATAACAATACATAGAGAAAGGCAGAAAAGCATGCAATGATTGCAGTAACTTTCAACCTCACGAGGATTCTTCCGACGCTTGGGAACAAGGAAGGAAGCATTGCAGATTCAGATGCAGAGCCTCCAATAAATGAAATTGGTGGTTTAGCTAATAAACTACAAGCTAAGCCTGTGAAAATCGAAAAGCATAAGAATCAGCAAACAAAAGCTGTGAAGTGAAGATTAAAACTCTATTAATTAATCTATATATACTCATTCACGATATTCATTCATATATATTCCTTTGGTTACAGCGATGAAGTAGTAAAAATGAACTAAAGCTTCCCCTTGCATCTAAAACCTAGTGCCGAAAATCACCATCAACAACGACGACGTCGTTCGAATCCAATATTTGTTGCTGTTTTTCTCTTTTCGCTCTTTACAAAATTCCACACGTGTGTACCTCCATAATGTCGAGAACCAGAAGCTTCCTAAGTTGGCTTCACCGCTGCAAGAATGAAGCGGCAACGGTTGAGTTCGGTGGCAAAAAGGTAAATCGCGGAAACAGTAGAAAGAAAGAAAGAAAGAAAGAAAGAAAGAACCTTGGCGGGTGTATCAGCGACTCTGTAAGCGTCGGCGGTAATACCAACTAACCATAACCCAGGGAAAACACTCTGCCAAAAATAAAAATAAAAAGGTTTAGAAAAAGAGAAAGGAAGCAAGTAAAGAATTAAGGGAGCGTACATCGATTTGTTTCTGGACATTCTTGGGCCGCTTTCTGGGCCTGCGAGCGGGCCTGGACCCGGTCATAACGAAGATATCCTCTTCGATCTCTTCCCTCGAGAGAGCGATCCAGAATTTCCTCTTCTCCTTCTTCTCGGCGCACTGCGTGTCGGAGAACCCTCGGAGGCGGAGAGACTTCGGCGCCGGGTTCTCGCCGGGGTGGGGGGGGCCCTCCTGGAAGTCTCCGGCGTGGCTTCGGGAGGGGCCG